TCTCCTCTTGGGATCTTGGGCACGCACGCACATGCGCCCGGCGTGAGTTTTAAGCCACCGGGTCCGGGATGCGAACCGCGGTCGACTACGTGGGAGTCCAGCGACATAGCCATTACGCTAACTGCTGGTCCCAGTTTTGAATATTTTAATTGATAACTTTTTAACTTATTATTGAACATAGATAATTTCTAACGTATTTAAGTAATACCTATGATGTACATCTTTTTACATAAAAGCTCTTCTATATTTAGTACTATTTCTGGACCAGCCAGTGGCATGTTGGTTAAGGTAGCTAGATCCCACATGGCTGATGGTGAGGTTTGAGTCCCAGACCTGTCAGTCTGAGAAACACTCCAGGTGTATGTGCATGTATGTCCCAAATCCCAAGAATAGAATAGAGAAAAAGGAACAAAAAAAGAATAGAGAAGGGACTGTGGCATGGCCGTCTCCTATGGGGGGGATGACTTTCTCACTTTTCCTCTCTCTCTCTCCCCAGTGAGCGCACACAGCCTATAGCAAAAATAAATGTGTGTATACATAAGTCTATGTATGTGTAAAATCTCTAAAAGTAGAATTCTTGGGTCAAATGGTATCAACAGATATATTATTACTAAACTGATTTTGAAAAAAGATTTGTACCAATTTACATTGCCACCATCTGTGTCTCTGTTATCACATCTTCTCTAGTTCTGGCTATTATCATTCTTTTTCATTGTGCTACATTTATGGACAAAAAATTGTCTCTACTAGGTATTTTTTTAAACAATTATTTAATTTGATGAGAGAGAGGGAGGGAGAGAGAGAGAGAGAATGTGAAAAAGCAAGCTCTCTGATCCACAACAGAACCATGGATGGCCATGTGGGAGCCCAGCACCTTAACTACCTCACCACCTGCCAGCCCCTCTACTTGATATTTTAATGGCATTTTAGTTTTGTGCATTGATATAGATTAGGCTAGACCAGCCTTGTTAAGAGTGTTAACCTCTTTGTAGTGAGATTATTATAGGACTATTTACTGAGTAAGTTTTTAACACTGTTAGTATTTAATGTATATTGGTATTTAATGTTGACTATTAAATTAAAAACTTTTTTTTCCAGACCCTATAAGATTTGGATATGTCCTTCATATTTGATTGGATTTACAGTGGTTTCAGCAGTGTACTACAGTTTTTAGGTAACGTTGGCTCTTTATTCTCTATAGTTATTGCACTTAATCCTGTTCATATAATAGTACTTATTTGTCTAGAGCCTCTTTATTCGTGAGCCAGTAGTTAAAATATGGGCTTTGAAATCATTCAGACATGTTCAATTATTCTTTGCATTCCCGTTAAATGCTATAATTGGGGCAAATTACTTTATCCACCTTAGCCTATGCTTCCTTATCTGTAAAATGGTAGTGATAATTCTTACCTCTTAAGGTTGTTAGGAATATTATTAATAGAACTTAAAAAATATGTCTACCATTTATTTGAGTTTACCTACATTGTTTAATACTGTTTCATTTAATTCCATAAAATACCTTGTTCATCATATATAGCAGTTTATAATTTTCTAAATGAGATTTGTTTATCCAGCAATTCTGACTAGTGACTTATCTGTCTTTATATATTTTATTTTTGCCTTAGTTTCTTGTTTTTTTATTGAAATCCTTGAATTATCGCATTTTCCAGTGAAGCAGACCTTTAATGAATATTGATGTTGAGATATATAAAACTTTATTATAGTAATAATTATTGTATATTTGAAAATATTTCTAGTCTCCTAATATTCATATTTTGCCCTGAGTTTAGTCTCTGTGTAATCATTATCTTGTGAACTTGCAGAAAGAAAAGAATATCTTGTGATTACAGAGTGGTCATCATAATTTTAAGACTCAATAGTACTTTGGAATTATATCTCCTTTACTTATGGAATTATATGTCCTTTATAAATGTTTCTTCCTTCACAGACATAATCTTAGCCAGGGAAGTACTTTCTTTTTCTTTTTTTTTCTTTCTTTCTTTCTTTTTTTTTTTTCTGTAGGGTATGTGTGCTCACCAGAGAGAGAGGGTGTGGGAGTGAGAAATCACTCCCCAGGGTTGATGGCCATACTGCAATCCCTTCTTCATTCTCCTCTTGGGATTTTGGGCACCCATGCACACATGCTCAGCATAACTTTCGAACTTCTGGGTCTGGGACTCAAATCCATCAGTCAGCCATGTTGGATCCAGTGTCTTAACCTCCATGCCACCTGCTGGTCCACATTATTTTTAATTGTCAGATTATGTAACTACTTACCAGAGAGAGTTGGAGAAACACAGACACATACACACACACACACACACACACACACACACACACAGAGCGAGAGCGAGAGAGAGAGAGAGAAAGAGAGAGAAAGTGCAGAGAAAGAGGCAAAAAGCATAATACCCCAGTTGGACATGGCCACTCAACAGTCCCTTCTCATCCATTTAGCCATCCTGTTGGCATTTGTAGCATACACAAAAGCTGGTGTATTTTTTTTTATTTTTTTGAGAAGTTTTTGCTATAGGGCATGTGTGCTCACCAGACAGACAGAGACAGACAGAGAGATAGAAAGCGAGAAATCATCCCCCAGGGGGGATGGCCACGCCGCAATCCCTTCTCCTCCATTCTCCTCTCGGGATCCTGGGCACGCACGCACACGTGCCCGGCGTGAGTTTAAACCACCGGATCCCGGACGCGAACCACGGTCGACTACCTGGGAGTCCAGCAACATAGCCATTACGCTAACTGCTGGTCCCCCTAAGTGGTATATTTTTTAAGCCACTAGGAATGGAATTCAAACTAGTTGGCCATGTGGGATCCAGCTTCCTTAAGTCTACAGGGCTAGCCCCAGAGAATCCATTTTATTTGACTGTTACATATTAAAAGGATACAAATGTAGGATTGAAATTTATCATTGTGTTTTTTTAAATTTTGCCAGAGAGTGCATATACTCACCAGAAAGAGACAGAGAGAGAAAATGAGAAAGTGCCTTCCCCATGGGGGAAGGTCATGTTGTAATCCCTTCTCCTCCACTCTTCTCTCTAGATTTTAAACTTACAAGCCCCTGGGTTCAAGGCTCAACTGCAGAGTCAGCCATGTGGGATTCAGTACCTTAACCACCACATCATTGACGGTTCTGTTGTTGTATTTTTACTTCCTATTAGGTCATTGGGAAAGTCATGATTTATTTTTCTGTTTTCCTGTGCTAAATGTGTTATTACTTTCCTGACAACCTAATACGTGAACTTAATACTTGTACGAATTCTTAAAAACCAGGGGTTTTTGGTACTTATTAAAAATATTGCCAGAGGACACTTGAGTTTGCAGGAGAAAAAGAGAAAGAAAGCAAAAAAGCACTTTCTGTGGGGTATTGTCATGCTGCAATCCCTTCTCCTCCATCACTCCCTCCCCTTGGAATTTTGGGCTTGCAGGCACACATGCCCAGCATGTTTCTCAAGCCTTGGGTCCAAAACTTGAACTCCACTGTAGACTTAATCTGGGGTCCAGTCTCCTTAGCCACCAGGCCGTAGACTGGCCTGACTTCTTTTTTTAAATAAAAAATGAAATGCATTAAATAAGATTTCATACCATTTTATACTGTCACTGTATTATAGGTCAAATATCAAATTTCTCTTTGTTGCTGCCAAGAGAATTTTTAGATCTTTTTATTAGACTAAACTATTTTGTCGTATATTGTTTGCAATGACTGGATTAGAAATAAGAGTTTTAAACTTTAGTAGACTGGGATTATGATTTTTCTTTTTTTTTTTTACTTTTATCTACATTTATTTTATGCTGACTTTAATTCCCATGCCATACATTTTTGTTTCTTCAATTCCTTCTGGGATATCTTTTTTTCCTGTGCAACTTCCTCTTCTGGTTTAGGAACAATTTGCTCCTTTTCAGTGAGAATCATCTCAATGTAGCAGGGGAGCTCATGTATGGGTTAATCTGCCCATGAGCTCTGTAAGTACGATGGTGCATTTTGGGTGTCTTGTTCACTTGAATATGTTCAGTGACCGGAGAATTTACATTTAATTCCTTGAGTTCAGCATTGCTTTCTGCATTTTTAAGCAGGTGCAGCAAAAATACAGCACTCTTTTTGGGCCACTGACCTTGTGTCCAGCCCCACTGTTTAGCCTGGGCACTTCTACCAACCCCACCATGGTAACAACGGAATGGCACACACTGCTTCTGTAAAGTGGCATCCTTCAGATACTTGGTGGCTTTTTGGATATGCACACCTTTGACAGCCTGGGCAGTTTCATAGGTTTTCTTAAAGTAAACGGGAAGATTTGAACCTCTTGATTTGCATGACTTTGTGGGGTTCTCTGGGTCAAGTGAATAGCAAACCGGTTTCAAAGATCACCTCAGGCCGTTTAGGAGAAGAGCTGGGATTATGATTTCTGGTAGATTAGGTCAAGATCTGTATCTCACTTTATAGAAAAATGAAACTAAGGTGAATCGTGATGGAAAAAGCAAAATAGATTGGATCACTATAGGAAAGAGAAAGTTAATAAAGCAAACATTAGGAAGCTGTGTAAAGAAATGGAGCCAAACTACAACTGTGGGATCAGTGTGGGTTCAGTTCTCAGATCTGACTTCAGCACTTGAACAACTTAACTCTGAGCCTTAGTTACCCCCTGTAAAAAGAGGGATGATTATGCGTACTTTGGAGAGTTACTTTAGGCCCAGCCACTTTGGTGCAAACAGAAGGAGGCAGTGTGTGATCGCTGAGGCCTCATGGGAGGTCTGGCTTCAGTTCCCAGCCCAGTATGGTGGCACACACCCGTGTTCTGAGCTAACTGGGAGACTGAGCAGAAGGGTTACCATATCTATCAAGACCCTATCAAAAATATCTGTTGAGTTGTCAGAAACACTATGATGCATTTTTACATAGAAAAATATGACGTTTCTTACAACCCAATATTTCTTTCTTGTTCTCTGTCATTAAAAAGGGGGATGGGGCAGCCGGTGGCATGATGGTTAAGGCGCTAGAGTCTCATGTGGCTGAACTCAGTTCGAGTCCTGGACCCGGCGGCTTGAAAATCACAACAAATAAATAAGTAGATAAATGAATAAATGTTTGAAAAAGAAAAAGGAGGGGAGTTACTTGGAGGATTAAATGAAATAATATATACAGGTACTTAACAGGGTCTACCACAAAGTAAGAATTTAGTCTTTTCAAGCCCACAATCATTAAAAAATAAATTAAAATGTAAATGTCTGAGGTTTACTTTTTAGAATCTTATTTAATGCATTTTAAAAAATTATTTTACTTGGGACCAGCAGTTGGCATAATGGCTATGTCGCTGGACTCCCATGTAGTTGACCACCGTTTGAGTCCTCAATCCTGGTGGCTTAAACTCATGCCGGGCGTGTGTGCGTGCCTGCCCAAGATTCCAGGAGGAGAAAGGAGGAGAGGGGATTGCAGCATGGCCATCCCCCCTGGGGGATGATTTCTCGCTTTCTGTCTCTTCATCTGTCTTTCTGGTGAGTGCATGCGCCCTATAGCAAAAACCTCTCCAAAAAAATTATTTTACTTATTATTGTTAAGTTTGTTTTAGGGCACATGTGTTCAACACAGAGAGACAGAGGGGGAGAGAGAGAAAGAGATAAAAATGAGAAAGCAAGCCACCAGATCTGGAACTCAACTGCAGTCAGCTCTGTGGGAGTCCAGCACCTTGACCACCATACCACCTGCTGGCCCCTAAATGCATTTCTAATATCTAAAACAGGTTAGTAAGAGTGCTTGCATTAGCTAGAGGAAATTTCTATAGAAACCTTTTTTTTTTGCCATAGGTCGTGTGCATTCACCAAAGAGTGCGAGAAAGCACCCCTCAATTGGCGTGGTCATACTGCAGCCCCTTTCCTCCATTTCTCTTTCTCAGCAGGACTTTAGGTGTACATACGTATGCAACTGACATGTTTTCAAACCACTGGGGCTGGGGTTCAAACATTCACCCCCCTCCCGGGGGGATGACCATGCCACAATCCATTCTCCTCCATTCTCTTCTTGGGATCTTGGGCACGCACGAAGATGCACCCTGCATGAGTCTTTTTTTTTTTTTTGGAGAGATTTTTCACTATAGGGTGTGTGCGCTCGCCAGACAGACAGAGAGAGACATAGAGACAGAAAGCGAGAAATCACCCCCCAGGGGGGATGGTCACGCCACAATCCTTTTTCCTCCATTCTCCTCTCGGGATCTTGGGCACGTACACACACGCGCCCGGCGTGAGTTTTAAGCCACCGGGTCTGGGACATGAACTGCGGTCGACTAAGTGGGAGTCCAGCGACATAGCCATTACGCTAACTGCTGGTTCCCCTGCATGAGTCTTTAAGTTGCTGGGGGACTCAAACTAGCTGATTGTGTGTGGGAGTCCAACAATGTAACCATTACACCATCTGCAAGTCCCTGTAGAAACTTTTTTTTTTAAGAATTATTATTTACTTATTTATTTATTATTGTTATTATTATTTTTCACATGAATTTTGCCAAAGACAGAGAGAGAAAGAGAAGGGAGAGTGAGAAAACAAGCCACCAGGTCCAGGACTCGAACCATGGTCAGCTATGTGGGAATTCCAGCACCTTAACCACCATGCCACCAGCTGGCCCTAGTCCCTTTAGAAACTTTTTAAGGGATTTTTTTTTTTTTTTGAGAGTTTTGCTATAGGGTGTGTATGCTCACCAAAGAGACAAAGAGACAGGAAGTGAAAAATCACCCACTGGGAGTGCAGACCCTTCTCTCTCTTCTCGAGATTTTGGGCATGCACGTACACGTGCCTGGTGTGAGTTTCAAGCTGCCAGGTCTGGGACTCAAACCACAGTTCAAGTGGAATCCAGTGCCTTAACCACTACACCACCTGCCAGCCCCAGGAATGGTATTATTTAAAGAAATTATTAAAATCCATAATCAAAGGATAAGTGTATCCTCACTCAAGTGAATATGAGAGACTGTCTTCCCCTTAGGATCAAGTTGTTGGTGAGTAGGTAATCAAAAGAGGAGGAATTTGGCCCTGCATGTGTGGCACAGTTGGTAACATCCAGGAATGTGGAGCTGGAAGCAACATACCAGCAGCAGTTCTAGCTTTTGGCCTGGAGGCTAGAAAACACCCAGGATGTGTACGAGCGAGCGAGTGAGCTCAGGGTCCTGTGGTCTAGAGTACTAGAGAAGGGATCGCAGTGTGACTAAGCCTTCTGGAGGGTGTTTCCCTCTCGCCCGCCCCCTTCCTCTCTCTTTCTCTCATGAGTGTATATAGCTCTATCAGGAATGGAAAAAAACATTAGTTAGCCAGCTGGTGGCATGGAGATTAAGGCAGCTGGATCCCACAAGATTGACTGTGTGGTTTGAGTCCTGGACCTGGAAGCTTGAAAAATATGCTGGGCATGTGTTCGTGCATGCTCACAATCCCAAAAGGAGAATGGAGGAGAAGGGATTGCATTGTGACCACCAGGTCTGGAAGGTGCTTTCTCACTTTCGTTCTCTCTTCCTCTTCCTCTTTTTCTCCCTCTTCCTTTCTTCTCCCTCTCCTGCTTTCTCTTCCCTTGTGCACACACTTTTTTTCTTTGAGAGGTTTTTGCTATAAGGGCGCGTGCGCTTGCCAGAAAGACAGAGACAGAAAGCGAGAAATCACCCTCCAAGGGGGATGGCCATGCCTCAGTCCTTTCTCCTCCATTCTCCTCCATTCTCCTCTTGGGATCTTGGGCACTCATGCACATGCACCCAGCCTGAGTTTTAAGCCACCGGGTCAGGACTTGAACTGCGGTCAACTACATGGGAGTCCAGTGACATAGCCATTACGCTAACAGCTGGTCCCTTCACACACTTTTTTTTTTTTTTTTTGG